AGAGACACATGGACATGTCTCAGTCCATTAGAGACACATGGACATGTCTCAGTCCATCAGAGAGACAGACACCACCAGATGTAGGACCTTCCTGTCAGATCTAAACTGTTTCTCGAAGCTGAGTCCTCTCAAAGCGTTATCTACAACAGGTAAGATGATGACTATTCATGGGTTGTACACTTTAAATTGTTGGAACTGTCCCTTAAAGCCAAAGTAAAGGCAGAGTTCAGCTGACTCACAGACTGGGAGTCCTTGCTGTTGTCCCGGGAGCGGTTCTTGGCGAGTCGCTTCTTCTTCTTGTGGAGGGGGCGGGACTCCAGGATCATCTCCTCCAACTCAAAGGTGGGGTCGCAGTGGAGCCGACCTTTCTGTGGGACAGAGACAGGTGTGGATCAGGACCACCCAGGGACAGGGTCACAGTAGTCCTCTCCCTGTGGTCTTCAGACTGACATTAGGAACAAAACCAGGCTCCAGCTTCTTCTCGTACACGGAGTCCCAGTTGATGTCAGACAGGTACGGAGACGCCTGCATGTCCACCAGGCTGGAGAAACGATGCTCCGGGTTCACCGTCAGCAGCTGAAAGACAGGAGGAGGACAGGAGGACAGGAGGACGACGGGGGAGGACAGGAGGACAGGAGGAGGACAAGAGGACAGGAGGAGGACAAGAGGACAGGAGGACAGGAGGAGGACAAGAGGACAGGAGGAGGACAAGAGGACAGGAGGACAGGAGGAGGACAAGAGGACAGGAGGAGGACAGGTGGACAGGAGGAGGACAGGAGGACAGGAGGAGGACAAGAGGACAGGAGGACAGGAGGAGGACAAGAGGACAGGAGGACAGGAGGAGGACAAGAGGACAGGAGGAGGACAAGAGGACAGGAGGAGTAGAGGAGGAGGACAGGAGGACAGGAGGATAGGAGGAGGACAGGAAACAGACAGGAGGACAGGAGGAGGACAGGAAACAGACAGGAGGACAGGAGGAGGACAGGAAACAGACAGGAGGACAGGAGGAGGACAGGAGGACAGGGGGAG